GTAACAATATGTTTGGTTTGGTGAGAAATTGCCAAGCTGTCCTCCAAAGTGTCTATACCATTTTGTATTTTCAGCAGCCATGAATAAGAGAGTTCCTATCGTTCCACATCCTTGTTGGCATTTGGTGTGACCATTGTTTTGCATTTTAGCCATTCTAATAGGTATATAGTGATACAGTATCTCACTGTTGTTTTAATTTGGAAGTATCATTTATTTTTGTGTTGGCCAATCAGGAAAATGACACTCTATGCTTTTTGTCATTGTGGACTTAACTAGACAGTCTGTGTTAATTAGTTTTTAGTTTTGAGTATTTTGAGGGGCAGAGGCATTCATCACACAAACACTTAGTAGGTATCTTTCAGGTGCTTGCACTAAGGCCTGGGATAGCAAAGACATTTTAAGTTGTTGACTTTACTGCCTAGGAATTTATAGTCTAGCCAGGGAACAGATAATACAGGTGATCGGATCTATAGAAGATTTTATAAGAGATTAAAAAACTCACCTTGCCTTAAGTAGGAGCAGCAGAGCTGGTAATGAAGTTTGAGTTGAATTTTGAAGGACATGTAGGAAGTAGCCAATGAAAGTAGAAAGAAAGGGGGTAGAATCAGGGAGATCATTCTATGAGAGGAAATTGAAATAAGACACATCAGTTCAGTCTATTTGGGAGGAGCTTGGGTTTTTCAGCCGTTAGTGAGGGGCAAGAGATAAGACTGGAGAGGTATCAGGGCCTAAAATCAAGCGTTTCGTACCATGTTAAAATTTTTCCTTTTGATTTTAAGTGGAGTGGCATACCTTTGGGAAGAGTGAGATCAGATATATGTGTCAGATTATTCTGCCTGTAGAGTGGGGGGTGGCTTTGGAAGCAGGGGATAGGACACATTGTAATTGATTAAGAAAAATAATGAGAGCCCATATTAGACAGTAGGCAAGGTGAGGGAGGAGGTGGGCAGTATGAACAGTGACTCCATTCACAGAGATAACGCGGATTGATGCTAAATTCAGTTTTGGGAATGTTGAACAGTCTTGAAATTCTCTCACCTGTAGATACGAGTTAAACTGCTTCCTGGGAAGGAGTCTTGATCTTTTGTTTTTTTGGTTCATCTCCATGGAAAGGAGCAAAGGTTATAAGTTAGGTTCTTGAATTTTCTGGAAGAAAAAAAAAATCATCTTTCTTATCTACACTCTGAAGGTCTCTTTTCAGTCAACAGCACAAGTACTGATAGCCTCAATCCTGAATTATAGACTGGGTCTCTGCTTCTTCGCAAAGAGTATTTGAAATAATTGATGTTTCAGTTTGATAGTGTAGGGATTTGATAACCACTTGGTATCTATATCTTTATGTGTGCTTGTATCCTTTTGGGGGTGTTATTTATTTTTTTGCTTAGAAAAACATGCTCTAATTAAAAAAAAATTAAGCATTGTAAACACGCATAACCTAGAAAAGTCCTTCATAAGCACTCCTCCCATTACCATTGCCAACACATCAGTGCAGAGTCTTCGCAGTCATATCACATACAGTGGACACACACACCAGCATGTCTATTTATTTGAACAGAATCAAGGTCTCGTTATGATACTGTTCTGAAAGGTATTTTTTGCCACTTAATAATATATCATTCTGGTCAGCACATATAAATCTGTAAATCAGACTCATTCTTTTTAATAGATGGGTAGTGTTTTGTTGTATAGATATATCATTATTTATTTACATAGTTTGCCATCACAGATATTTACCACCCATGTTTTTCAATTCTTTAAACCAGTGCTGTCCAATTCTCTAAACCTGCGGTCCCCAACCCCTGGTCCATGGCCCGGTACTGGTCCATGGCCTGTCAGGAACCTGGCCATGCGCCACCACCTGAGCTCCAGCCCTCTCCCGGTCCACGGAAAAAGTGTCTTCCATGAAACTTAGGAAAGGGGGGGGTCCCTGTACAGCAAGCGAAGCTTCGTCTGTATTTATGGCCGCTCTGTTCCCCCCAGTCCCCATTGCTTGCATCACCGCCTGAGCTTCACCTCCCCACTCACCCCCACCCATCTGTGGAAAAATTGTCTTCCATGAAACTGGCCCCCTGGTGCCAAAAAGGTTGGGGACCGCTGGTAAACCAAAGCATACCACCAGCGTTTCTGTGATGATGGAAACAGTCTAGATCTGCTGTGTCCTATACGGTAGCCACTAGCCATGTTTGGTTGCTGAGCACTTGAAATGTGGTTAGTGTACAAAGGACTGAATTCTTAATTTAATTTAATTTAATTTAAATATAAATAGCCACACATAGCTAGTGGCTAACTTATTGGACAGCATAGCTCTAAATTATTCCAGAGTTAGGTAAGGTCATCAAGCTACTTCCTTGGACCACATGACTTTGGCCTTTATAAATTATAGTTTAATGGTGTTTCTTTGATGTTGAACAGTCATATGAAGTTTCTTTTCTTTTTTTTTTTTTTTATTTAAGATGGAGTCTCACTCTGTCACTCTGGGTAGAGTGCAGTGGCATCATCATAGCTCACTGCAACCTCAAACTCCTGGGTTCAAGCAATCCTCTTGCCTCAGCCTCCTGAGTAGATGGGACTACAGGCGAGTGCTGTGACACCCAGCTAGTCTTTCTATTTTTAGTAGATAGGAT